CCACATTCATGCAATCGGTGTGGCGGTCTCCGCCGTTGCTCTGAAACATCGGGAGGAGGGCCATGCAAAGGTGTTCCGCAGCTTGGGAGGTCTGAGGGAGGACCGAAAGAACAGCACCTTTGGCGTACGCAATAATAGTGTCGCCCTCTCCCAAGAAAACCCAGGAGTAAGCCGCTCTGGACAACTCCCTAACGGCATGCCGATAGGCCGAGCCGTCCATGACGACATCGCAACCCGAGCGGTCCACAGAGCCCCAATCAATAATATCCCCTTCTGGAGAGTACAGGATGGGTTGAGTGGCCGAGGACGGAGGAGGGTAGGAGGCTTCAGGGTGCTCCCACTTTAACTCGCCAAAGAACAAACGGCCCTGACTTCCAAGAGCTTCGTCCAGCCATTCAACAGGAGAGTCATCAGTAACACTTTTACGGGCGGCGACGGTGTCAGGGTGAAGGCACTGCTAAACGCGGTGCCGCACGCTGTCGGGCATCCCGCACTTCGGGCAAAGTCCGTCGCACGAGTGCCCAGCGGCCTGAGCCCTCGCTCTGGTCCAAATCCCTGTGCAACGCACACTCAGCGCCACATACTTCTGCTGAGGGTTGAGTTTCCTTCCCTTGGGGCCCAGCAAGGTTTTCAAGGGATCGACACAAAACCGAAAACCGTCGGCTCCAGGGGTGTCCTGACATAAAACCCGTTCATGTCTTCGTTGGGCCGCCATCTGCAACATGTGCGCTAACATAGCGGGCGAGGTGTATCCCAAGTTTACCTCTCGACCGTAGTCGTCCTCAAAAGTAAGGGGGGTCGCCGACTTCCACCCGATCCTAGCCAACGACAGGTGCATGCGCTGCAGAGGTCCTCGTGACGAGCGCCACGTGACCTTGTCATCAAGGGGGGCAGAACGCCACAAATGAGCAATCTCCTTGATATTATACCTAGAGACCGACGGGGTGGTGAGAGCCAGCCACACGATCGACGCCCACTGCAGGGCTGGCGCCACTGACAGCCACCAAATCGGGTCTCCAAGGATCACCAGACGCGCCTGGAGGGAGCACCCTCGGTGCCTAGGGGGGTGCGACGACAACAGCACACGTTGAGCCACATGGAGCTCGCCCTGACTCATCCCCACAACCGACGAGCCGAAACTGGCCGCGGGCAACACTCCGCACGTATAGATCCTTCCCATGCGAGATTTTTTGCAGGGAAGGGCCGAGCGATATCGCATCAAAGCCTTATGCCCCTTCTTCATGTGGGAAAACATCTGTTTTCTTTCCCACAGACCATGTTTAGCACCTCGGGTCTGACCTGGTGCGAAATCCGTGCCGAGGGAGACCGCGCTGTTCGTGACCTTACCCGCCAGCTGCCCGAGGTGCCTAGCAATCTTCTGGGCGAGGGTGCGGCTGCTGGCAAAGGTGCTGACCTTGTCGGGCTGAATGCCGACGCGCAGCTCATCCCTAAACAGGACGTACAGGCAAGCAGCCGCCTGAGTGATAGTGGCCAGGACCTCTTGCTCAGAGCCCGACGCTGTGACGCTATCATCGTCGACATACGACGACAAATCGACGCTGGGATTGTCCTCAACAAACTTGTCAAAAGGCGTCGATGCTGTAAACTCGAACCATGCTATCATTGAAGATATCTCCCGCGGGAAGACCAGACCTGGCGAAATAAGGCTGGGCCCGGTAGTGGGCCCCCAAACGAAGCAAACGGGGGCCCCTCCAATAGTTAAACGTCGTTTTGACAATGACCTCGTTGATACCGCATCGTAACGCTCTATCCTTGAGAAGGGCTAAATCAAATGACTCGTAGTACTTCGTCCCATCCCATATTATACCCCCCGTTTCCTGAGACTCGAAGTGGGCCATCTCGGCCTGGACGGCCTGGTGCCACACGGCACTCTCAGCACTGCGGCCAGGGCCAAACGCCCAGTAACTGCGAGGGTAGTTCGTGTTGAAATCCACAACCAGAGGTCTCCGCAAACGTTCCCAGACACGGATGGGGCCGGCGCACAGCAAGATGGGTCGAAGGCCTCCCTTGGGTTTTTCCAAAAGAAGGAAAAGCAGCCAGAACAGTTGTTTGGGAAAGAGGCCCAGGGACTCAATCGCTTGGATTAACGCCCCAAGCGTGTCAAGGGCATCGTCCGAAACCAACGCGAGCTGTCTCGGGCGCAGTCCATCGGGGGACTGCGAAGTCAGGTGCGAAAAACTGCTGGACGCGCTTCTAATCTCGGCCGCCGTCGGCCTAGGGAGGTGCGCCCGATCAGGAACACACACCTCGGGTGGCATGTGCGACGCGTGCCAAAACTCGGACAGGGATTTGCCTTGAGCCTCAAGCATCTCTTGAGGGGAGTTAGAAAAACAACCAGGATGATTTTGCACGACGGTCGGGGCCCACCTCTGCTGAAGTTTCGTGAGCCTGTGCATGGCCCTCGCTCCCCCAGAAAGAGCTTTCTCCTGCCATTGATCCCAACTATCCTGCTGGACCTTCGCGACGGCCTTGCGCGCCT